TCCATCCGGCAAAAGGCGATCACCTACTGGTGGGAGCAGGCAAGAATCATCCAGACTTTTTCGTCAGCCTTGTGGTCAATCTCACCATATGATGTAAAGTTATCTTACATCGCAATTTTTCTGAGGACTTTGGTTGGCCCATGGAGGAAGGAACTTCCTCCATGGTTGGCCTGACCCAACTTGCGACTCTTTTTCGAAAGGAGGTACTTTTGTTAGAACTTGGTACGGAAAATGTGTGCGTCGTTATGACGATTCACTAGCGAATACGCGTAGTTCTTTAGATAATATTGCCCTGTGAAAGAAGTTGTACAGCCATCATTTTGTTGATACTTACTTCTTCTATAATTATACTGAAACCAAAGATTCAACAGGAGCGTCAATGCGTCATAGGCCTTACGTGGCCGTGGGCTATAAGCAATGACGAAATATTCGAGCTATTGTGTGCAGTTTGTTTTCCCTTGTGGCGCGTCACAATGAACTTCGCGCTTCCCCCCTCCCCCACCCCCCGCGGGAGACTTTGTGCCCAACGCAGGGGAGCCGAATCCTGGGGGAGGGGAGGGGGTATATATATCCACCCCACTTTTTGACCGGGGGGGGGGGATGGGCTATTGAATCATCCCCCTGTCTCATTTCAGATCGCATACAGTTGATACATTATTTTATAGTCGGTGCGTATTGGTTCCAAGTACCACAGTTTTCAGTTCAGAATTCAGTTCAAGCAAATTCAAACAATGAGCACACGTTTTCGTCCCAGGGTATTCGAATTCGTACGTCTTCGTCAAACCTTGCTATTCAGAAATCGAACTCGTCTAATTGATTTATATAAGACGAATTTGATCTCTGAATGCTGCCATTCGGCAACAGCTTAGACGAATTTGATCTATAATGACGAATATTCTCGACCTGGTGACTAAAGCGGGTGACAAACTTTAAAAATGAATGGTAAATGACTAAATAAAAGCGTGTGAAATTTGTCGTGGACGAAATTGAATGATAGAGTTGGTAAATTTGAATGAAAAATCTTTTAAAATAGCCAGGAAAACCTATAATAAAAAACCTACACACAAACAATCAGTTTCTAACTATTTCATATGCATGAACAAGTCAGATACTACAAATAAACACAACAAAAGTGAATAATTAATACTACATGTATTAAAGAAAGATTATAAACTTGTCACGTGATCTGTCTTCGGGATGAAGCCATGCCTAAGACGCAACGTCATTAAACAAACGGCTACTGGTGTCAACGAGGCCAATTATAGAAGAAAAAGAAAACCCCGCCCTATATATTAAAAAAAAAGAGAAAAAGAAAAGAGGTAAAAGTGCAATGAATCTGATTTCTCTCTTATTCCCGTCACGTTCAAGGCCCGACCACGACCGAGCCGACCCTAGACACCGCAATGGGTTGAAAGCCTTTTTTTGTCCCGACCAGTTTTCGAGTGGCACTCGCCGCTCCGCTATAGTCATGTTATTTCAAGCCGTGTAAAAACGGTAATCGGGCGTTAGCTACTCTGAATGGGCGGGCACTGACGTGGGCATAACACGCTCTCGACTTCCACTTCTCAAAGCCAGGGCTATACAGTCTACCATACGATCCGAAGAGAGTCCTTTCTGTTACTTGCGGTATGAACGCACTCTTTTGAGGTGTTCCTTTCTTGTGTGTTGTTATTGTTGTTGTTGTTTGGGTACTGAAGCACTCTTGCTGTGCGTGACTCTGACCGACAGTGACCTAATAGATGGAGTCGCTTTCGTCAGCAATCACAGGACCGAGTTTTACAGATACCGGTTCAGTCGGTGACTGCTCTATGTTCCGACACCCCTATGTTCCGACAACCTAGATTGTGTTACTCCCGGTTAGGGTTAGGGTTATGGTTAGGATTGGAATAGGAATATGTGCAGTCGGAACATAGGGGTGTCGGAACATAGAGGTGTAACCGTTCAGTCAACATCGTCCGTGTTGTGATTTTTGCATTGAAGAGTTGTAAATTGGAATGTTGCATTCGTCTGTATATACTCGATGGTTCTCATGAACTTGTGAGAGATGACGAACTTGCAGTCCAGCGGGATTCGAACCCACAACCTCCTGCTTATCAGTGCAGTGGTTGAGTGTTGATGTCCAATTACATTGAAATTACATCCACTCAGTAGTACAAGCGAATAGTAAGAATTGTTTCCATGTTGCAAAATAAACAATGTTTTATTCCCCTTGTAACATTTCATTCAAAGACAACATCCCTCGATTTCTTAGAGGGTGCATAGGCCTAATTGTGCGATTCACTTTTTACTTGAAAGTGTTTAGATATCTTTTTGGGAGCGCAACACATTTTAAAGCTCAAGACTTAACAACTAAGAACCATTTGCTAATATTACGATTTTGTTTCAGCTTTTCAGCACCAATGGGGAAAAAAGTAATAAAACCACGACAAACACTTTCAAAAAGGGCCTTAAAAAATAACTGCAGGGGTTATAGGCCGGGTTAAGAAGGTGGACATTGGCTCCAGTCCCTTTTGTATCCGACGCCTCTGTGATAACAGCGCCCCTACCGAGCACCCTGCGGTGGCGTTCACGCTACGTTAGCGGGACACAAAGGCAAGCCTGGCGGGCCGATCGCTGCGATCAACGGCGCGGCGACTTGCAGCTGCGCGGTCCTCGCTCCCCGGTTCATCGGACAACTTTTCCCGTCAAGTAATAACCATGACAAAACAGCACACTTAAAGAACACACTGTGTTCTTATAGTTCTTATACAAAGTCTGCTTTATTAGATTGCCAGTATGGCAAATGTGATTCAGGGGTATTGGGCATTATCGGGTTTGTTACACTTTGCTTATAGTGAATCGGTGGAGATCTATAAACACGATTGGCCATTGTGTCATGCTGTTTGACCATGCTGGGACCGAATAAAGGAGTGAAATAATATACAATCATTGACTTAAAATACTTTGATTTTTTTCATTACAGTTTTACACAATTCAAACTTAATAGCACATGCGTGCATTGAAGCTGGTCACACAGTAAATTGAAATAAAGTGTTGGAGATCTCCCATGCGTCTTGACGAGAACTTTAAATCTCGTATGTTGTCCTGTTTGTTAAGACGAATAGAATAACTCTATTATTTCAAAGTATTTTTTGATAAATTTTGTTCCGATGAGATACAAGTAAATTAACGAAATTAAAAAAGATACATTGGTTATTAATGATTTTACCTTTGTAAGTGTACGACACTAATTGTAAAATGAAAAATTCACTTTTGAAGTATTTTTTAAAGGTTGTTTAAAATACTTTCTTTTAAGAGTGAGATTTGAAAAAATGGGGGTTTATCAATTCTAAAGTGTGGTTGAGCGCCACCGTACAGTGGGCAATGTCAGGAAGTGAACGTTTGCACCTATGTCGGTGTGTTCTCCTGCGATCAGGCCAACTGAGGGCGCTGTCGTCGAGGCTTTCTCCGTGAAAGAAGAAACCGAAAGTTTCGGTCGTGTCCAACGATGAGTGAATTAATGACAGATTACTTACTTCGTGGTTTAAAATAATCTATGCTTTTGCCAGATTCGAAATTTGAAAGTTTCTTGTAAAGATCTTGTATTTTACTTAAAGAAGTTGTTTGGTCTTAAAACGTGTTTGTTTTGTCGTCTTTTTTGTTTACTTGTTGCATGCAATATTCCAAGTTAAAGGGAATTTGTTTCGACATAAAGATAGCATTACGTGACCAACTTGCGAAAAAACAGGAAGGAAGAACGAAACCATCATTTCAAACATAGTCCATAAAAGTTCTTCTCCGTAGATTCGGCTTGTGACATTTTGTGTAGATTGAGGTCGATTCAATCTTTATTCCGTTAAAAAAAATAAGAACGTGAACCTCACACCTTGATTTATTCATAAAATCCAGCTCGAAAGGTTTGCTGCGGCATGCAGGTGATGGTTATATAGTGGAGAACCTCAAAGAGGTTCGATCGCAGTTTGTTTTTGAGGGAGACTCTCTATTTGTCTCACAGCGTGATGCGCGGCGCCCTGTTCTAAACTTCAAAAGTGCTGGTAGCTGATTCACTGTTGCCATGTCAGGGTGAATTGTCTTTTCACACCATAGTTTGCGCTCTTGTCTATTGTAACAATTGGTATTTATCTCTGAAATCATGGAATCTTTGAAGGTCTTGTTTTGTTGGAGTCTGTGTTCAATATTCTCGGTCCCGGAAGAGGGCCTCTTCTTTTCATGAAGTTCGGAGTTTTGACCGCCAAAATGCCGTCAAAAGTCTTTGTCACAAAAAAAGCTACAAGCTTAGAGTATCTAACACATACGATGAGTACCGTAATGCCCCTGACATGGCTTGGTAACTCCGCACGATAATCTCATTGCAATGTACATGTATATACATGTCGTGTGATGTAAAATTTTCAAAATGACTTGTATCACAGTGTTGTACAAATTGTGACATATAGGAGTGGCCAAGAACGCACCAGGCTTTGCACTGGTACAGTTTGTCTGAGCTCCAACCTCCTGTGTTGTAATTAATATGAAATATAACTGGAATTTCTACTCGAGTAGAGGGTCGATACTGACTATTCACCGTCTTTGCTATAACCGTGGCCCCTCTTTGCTATAGACATGAACCCTCTCCTATAACCAGGGACCCCCTTTACCACTGACTCTCTTTGCAATGGCACGGACCCTTTTTGCTACGGAGTACGGACCCCTTGCTATAACCATGGACCCCCTTCCTTTAACCATGGACCCTCTTTGCTATGAACATAAACCCTCTTTGCTATAACCACGGACATATTTGCTATCACCACAGACCCCTGTCAGAGTCTTTGCTACGGACCACCTTGCTATGGACCCTTTTTGCTATGACCACTTTGCTATAACCTCTTTGCTGTACCACGGACTCTCTTTGCTATGACCACGGACCCTCTTCGCCTATACCATGAACCCTTAAGGCCTCTTTGTTGACCATGCATCCTCTTTGCTATAATCACGCATCCTCTTTGCTAAAACCACGGGTCCTCTGTGATCATGGGTTCTCTTTGCTATCTCCATCTCAATGCTTTATCATGGACCCTTCATACGGTACCCATGGACCCTCTGGAGTGAGTGTAGAGAACCCAAGTTTGAGACCATCTCTCTGGGCTATAACTGTCACCCAGGCCGCGTCGTCTTGCTGTCAATTACCCGAGTTCACTCGGCACGAGGCGGTCGTGAGTCACTGCACATGGCGATGCGGGAACGGCCATACCATGTACCAGTGTACACAGCGAGTGCGCTGGTTGGCTGACGGTCGTGGGTTGGCTGGCCGCTATCACGCACCCTGTCACCGCTAACAAAACCCGGTTATACCACCGTGAAAAACCCAATGTTGTGTGCGCAGCATGTGCCGGCTCCTGTTCATTGCTTTATACGTGGTCTGGTATCCCAGATACATCATCAACTTTGGGGTCTCAGTCTATGTAGTGGTGACTACAGACAGTGCATAATAGTTGGGTCCAGCAGGTTCGCGTACTTGGACCAGAGTGATCGCAGCTTGTTGTGTATATAATATCCTATCAACTATATTGTCAGAAAGGAGAACGTTGGGGATGAGGAGGAGCTGTTTTTATTGCGGATGAGTTGACGTGATTTGTGTGGTTATTGTCTTTTCGGTCGGTGGAATTTTTGTTTTCAGCCACGGGATATGCTGATAGCGGTTCATTGCCCAACCCACACGGGCACAACTGCGTTGTATAGTTGTGCATTCCTTCTAGTTTCGCAGTATTGAGCTGGTCTGATACCACTAGCGGTTCATCTACTGATGGTTGCCTGGATGTAATAACAAATACTAAGTAAAAGACAATTCATTAAGATTCTGTCTGTGGATGTTTGGTGGATGCAAACAAGAGCTTCGTGTATACAGACTCTTCTTTGCTCTCGACGTGCGAAGTTGTTTGAAAAGTCGACTGACTGAAGCAACGAGGAGGCAGAATTATCATCGCTGTTCCGAAGTAATTATCAGTGTTTATTTTTGTTTTCAACTCTTGTTTTGCTCGGACACTTTGAATGTATTTCACTTTGCAACCGGTCAAGATGCCACAGTCGGTTGTCACCGAGAACCGGGAGCAACAGGGACTGGAGTCCGGCCCGGCTTGCCACGAGAGCTACCGGCAAGATTGCGGGGAGATGGCTGGGGGAGGAAGAGGGGGCCCGGATGGTTCGCCGTGTTCCCCACCGACCCACCAGCAGCAGCACCGGCCACCACCGTACGAGAAGTCCAAGGCTTGCATGTGTGCCGGCTGCGGCGGCCCCATTCAGGACCGGTACTACCTGCTGGCAGCCGACCAGCAGTGGCACACCGAGTGCCTGCGATGCTGCGAGTGCAAAGTCACCCTGGATAACGAACTGACCTGCTTCGCCAAAGACGGGGGCATCTACTGCAAGGAACACTACTTCAGGTCAGTCGGCTGTTTCTGTATCATCAGCTATAGGACCCAATTTCATGGAGCTGCTGAGCACAGAAAATATCGGCTTAGCACAAATAGGTTACCAGCCAAATTGTCATGCAATATATATTGCTTGTAACTGGTTCTCTGCTAATTTTTGCTTGGCAAGTTAATTTGCTGAGTGTTCTGAACACAGCAGCCCCATGTAATTTGGCCCATTCCGGTTAGAGTTTAGTACTTAAGGCGACGGGACATCAGTGCCATTTTTGTATCTTGCACCATACACTCTAAAATAAAAAGACTCATGGGTCAGATTGACCCAGAATATGACTCTATATTTGCTCAGTCCTTTTCCAGGTCAAAAATGACACTTTTTCGGGTCAAAGAGGACATTTGTTTAGATCATTTTGACCCAGAAAAGTGTCGTTTTTGACCCGGAAAAAGACTGGGCAGATACAGATTCAGATTCTGGGTCAATCTGACCCAGGACTTTTTAGAGTGATGCATAGATGCAAATATGAGTCAAGTCAACCTTTTAAGTTATCAACCGAGAAGGATAAGAATACATTCCTCCGTGGCTTCAAGAATCAAGTAATTCTGCTTCTTTTCTACCACTCAACCTTTTTACCCACCCACTTCCCCAGAAGTTCTGTAAAATCACATGCAACCACATTGGGACAGGTAAGCACGAGGAAACTGCAGTTATACCACGCATAGATCACAGAGTTGCCATTTAGGCAAGTGTAACCACGGTGTAACAGACCAACGAAACGAAAACATTCCTGGAGCGATCATGAGAATGATAAGGATCCAGCCTCCTTCTTGATAGCAAGTCACTTGGGGCAGTAACTTCAGACCTACCTAAATTCAGAAGTCCGAAAACTGGGCATAGAAGTAGTATGTGAGGCCACGAGGCTAAGTTTCCATGGTTGGTTTTTAAATCTAAATATGGCAAGGTTTGCATTTTCAGTTTTATAATTATTAAGGAATTTTCCGTCTACCCTTTGTTTTGGCCTCAAAATATTGTTTTCATGTCCGTTAATGTAAACGTTGTTGAAACTTATTATTAGCAATAGCATAATGTTTTGTGTGGTTTTTTTTTTTTTTTTTAAAGAGTTGCATGAAATATACATAGCTTCATCAATCAATCAACTAATGTAACATGCAAGTTAGGTCTTAGATTTCTCTGAGTGAAACCATGATTGTGAGTTTGTCTCAAAACATGTTCAAAATATCATCGATACTGCATATCTTTCCTACCTCCAGTGTCGGAAATAGTTGGAAATGCTTTTCGGATTTGAGTGACGTGAAATAGGCCTGCCACCATCTCAAGAAGCTAGCCCGCAACAAATTCAATTAAGCTGTAAAATTTGTTGGTGAATTGATGTCCGTATTATTCGCCAACAAAGCCACCCCTCTTCGGATTTCGCACCTCTGTCCGCACCGACAAAACAGCGATATTCGCCCCGTAATGGGATCCTCAAATCTCGGTCTCTCCTGGGAGTTCGCGCGTTATTGTAACCGCTCGAGTTGACAAGCGACGGCCCGTGAGTTTTGAGGGGTGAACTTTTGAAGTGGACAGGCATGTTTGACCATGGTTTGACAGAGAGAATCTCCTGTTTCTCTCATCTGAAAACAAAATAAATCAAACTCTCTTTAAGAGATCGTTAGTGGTCGTGTAATTCAGTAGGTATTAAAAATTTGACGTAAATTTTTAAAACGGTTATTTGCGATGAATCATTGAAATGTCGAAATAAGAAAGGTGTAAAATATTTCATAATATTATATTATTTAGGCTATGGTTATACTTATACCGTTATGAAAATGATAGTATTTTTGTTGATTATGTGTAATTGTGTTGAAGGATGTTTTTACGTTGCATTTGAAATGTCTGATAGACGAGCCGTCACTCCATCTTGCACTAGACTTGCGAAGAAATGTGGCTTTGCGGTTTCGAACAACTGTGTGGTTGTACAAGGAATTTTGCCAGAACAGGTCACCTCGTGTATCGTTTGAATTTTATGAGGAGATACGACAGAAAATACTGAAAGTCAGGAATTTTCAATTTTTCAATTTACCTCAGTAATACTTTAAAACTTAGACCACACGTGCTGCGCTTATAGCATCTATATTTGATAGCATAAAATATATGTAGGTTGTGGATGTACGCGGCAGCGCACGTTTTAAATCAACTCAACTCATTTCTGATTAACGACTGTTTAAATTTGTATACCCAAACCTCTTCCTCCGTTAAGACTATTCCAAACAGGTTTTGATAAATGTTATTAGCTTTGAAAAGTGTGTTTCTGTTATCTTAAAGGCAAATCGTTGGAATGTATATTCGGTCTTTGATGTTGAAGTTAAAATATGAAAGTATGTATATGTTGATTCGAGAGGTTAGCGAATTGTATGAGTTTTATTGGCGAAATCGTACGTGTTAATATCATCATGTCTTGCGATAAATCGAGAATCCAAACTTCGAAAAGTCCGTCAAGATTGATTCCTGCACCATATATCTTCCTCGTCCTCGGGCCGATGAAAGGGTAAACCGAACCGCGGTAAAATACGAGCCGGGCGCGCTACTCCCGGAAAAAAAATACACTCGAAGGGGGGAATTCCTGGAGTATAACGCGGGGAGTTTTGCATCGGCAGTAATGTGCAGGGGACCTGACAAGGCGGCCCTCCAGAAACAATAATAAAAACTAACACAAATATGTATCACTGAAGGGCCGGGATAGCTTAAGGTCAGAGGGGTCGGCCAGAAAGGGCCCTAAATCTGCCACGGTGCGGAGAGGAACCGTAAATTCCCGGATTCAATAGCGCAACACACCTTGGCTGTATCGCGGGCAACATATTTCATTCTTCGCCCTGGGCGAGTAGAGTGTTTAGTTTCCGCCGCGAGATCAAAGCCCCCAAAATATTCGGTTATTATTATTATTTTCTCTTGAAACAAACAAAGGTAGACTCATAATAAAGCCGACACCGTCCTCGTGTTGAGGGAGGGAGGGAAGCATGCAGGGTGAACAGAAAAATCATCGACAAAGAATTCCGCGCGACGGTCGTAAATTTTAAGATTCCGAATGCTATTTTGTCTGCTTTGGTAGTATTTATATTTGGATGTATATACTCTATTTTTTATAAGTCTTTCGGAACAAAATTTATATTAGTGTCTAAAAATGTATTGCGGGTTTTTTTGTAGTAAAAATGGAAGGTGATATATTGTTTTTGGTTATGTTTTCGTAATCAGTTTGAATTATTTCTCTTCGATCATAAACTTCTCATAAATCTCTTTTGCCTTTTTTAAAAAGAAAATCAGCTAACTTTTAAATTTTGGGGTAAAAATCTGAGTAACCAATATAGTCAGTAGGAACGGCCTTAAAATATTCGTTATCTTTGACTCTTTATGATTCAAAATGGGTGCATTAATGCGTGGACTGTAGAACAAGACACAAGTGATCTAAACTTTCAACTGTTGTGTTTTATACTACCGCCACTATTTGTTTACTTTCCTGTTCTGTTTTAAAAACGAGTGACTTTGATTGACATGTGCTGGGTTTTGAATGACCCTGACTATGCCCCCCTCAGAACCAAACACCGAGAGAAAAAACTGTCACCGAGGCACTCGAGACACTCCAAACCATGGGTTGCTGTGTGGTTACGCTCGGGCCAACCCCATCCCAAGCCCCCGCTCGTGTAGCCCGGCCCTGGCTGTATTTCTTACCTGTCCTGCCGGCCTTCGCGCATCCGTGAAAAAGTTGACAGCTTTGTTTTCCGATAAACACACCTTCGTCCTCCACTTGTCAATTTCCCGCGGGGGTGAGCGGTCTGCCTGCATGGCCTGGGGTGGCTGCAGGCAGAGCCGTGACGTGGTGTTGGGGTGGGGGTCCGTATGCGCACGTGCTCTATATTTTTGGCCGATCGGGTTGGGAATTAACGGGGGATTGGTTGGGCGGGGAGGGGGCATTGAGATACTGACAGAAGCTAACTTGGTCAGCAACACTCCCAGTCAGTTAAGGCCTATTTAAAGGTAATATGATTGTGTGTAATTTTCAGAAATTGATGGATTTGGGGGTTAGTATTTTATGGCAAGTATTGCTACACATACCTGTGTTCATACATGCTGGGAAAAAAAAACAAGAAAAATGCTGTTCTTGTAGTCTGGTTCTCTGTCCCTACTTGAGACGAAACGGAGGAATGTATAGACGTCAGGGAATAGTCAGGTCAGGAACCAGACTAGCTGGCTTGCACCCGTTCACGGATGTGTAACCGATTGCAAAAAAAAATGTGGACTAACTAAATTGGGTAAATTGGGTGAAATATTTGAAAATGTCAGTGTTTGTTTTTTCCAGCGATGGTCGGCCGACCATCGTTGGAAATTGATAAAAAAAAGCTCCCACTTTTCTTGAAAATGACAGCACATTAGGTGCCATGATTTCACAGGATGCTTGAGACTAGTATTCACTTAGGGCCTACAGTCAAGTAAGGTATTTCATAATAATTTTGTATTTTTTTATGTTTGCAAATGTTGTATAATATTAATACCTTTAAACCAGTTGTTGACCCGATGTCATGCAGCAGCCTACGGCAGCCCATAAAAATATTACTAAGCAAAACTGTTATGTGCTAAGCATAAATCGACTGAGAACCAGCTATACCAGCAGTACGCATGCCATTGCATTTTAGTTGGTAAGCCTCACCTGTATGGTGTTAGTAAATGTTTTCTGTTTTGAGCACTATTTCAGTACTTACTTGTCCATGCAGTTGGTGCGTGGAATCCGTTCCTTGCTCAACGGGACAAAAGTCTCATTCCCCAAACCGCCGCGCAGGTTTTGTTTTATGAAACCTGTCCGCTGTGGCCACTTACTACCTGTGGCCGCTTAACGCAGGTTGAGGCGCTGCAAATCGTGCCAACGTGAAAATCGAAAACAAACATTTTGGGGGTCATTACTTTTGAAGGAATAGCCATTTTCCCAAATATCTCATGTAGAATAAAATCTTTTTTGTTTCTATTTTCCTTATATACAAAATGATCGTAAACACTTTTAGAAAAAAATATACAAAATTCGGCTTTGTGTTTAAGGCATAAAGTCTTTGCTGCTATTCAAACCACCAACATTTCATATTCTGTATAATTAAATAAACACTGTTTTGTAGAGTGACGCGTCTAATTTAACCTAATATAGTCAGAGCTTTCGATTCCGCTCAATAGAGCCACTACTGCCAGTTATCATAATTGAGCATCGCTCCGCCGTAAAGATTAACGTCTAGACGGCACAGCCACCCTCGGGCAGTATGGCTCGCTGGTACAGTATTTCTTGTAGTTTAATCCTTCAATTCAGCAATGTTTAATAGGCGTTCATAACGTCCATAATAGAGAGAACATCACTGAATAGTAATTTTGTTTACAACCAGAACTATTCTCTGATATTATATTATTATTAGTTCCTGTATAATTCCTGTTTTTGACGCAAACATTAGTTCACAACATTGCTTAACCGAACATCTGCTCATAAATCTTTATTGTAAAGACGAACACATTGGATTGGTCGATTGTTGATGAAGCACGTTTTTGATTGGCCGTTGGTTTGCGTTGAGATGATTCAAGGGCTTTATGATAATTGGTTCCTTATTCACAGTTGCCTTTGATTGGCTAGTAACTCTGTCATAAGCTCTGCGATTGGCCACATAGACATTTCGAATTCGGAACAATATTGTCATTGGTCAGCACTTGGTTTTTTTGATTACCTGTTTTGATTACTTTTTTGATAACCAGTTTTTCTCTCACAATACTCATGGCAGAGCGGAGCCACAACGATACCGGGCAATTCTGCACTTATCACGGCCGTCCGGACGTGCCCGTGTCCCTCGCTCGGCGGGCCGGACATATATCACATTCTAACAAATTATCCTCGTCGCCTCGATTTAAACGACTTGTTCCACTTAATTTGCCCGAGCCGTTAATGATGCACCCAAAGTGGCGTGTCTCGTCGAATTGTATCCTTCTCCCATTCCATACTGAGTTTCTGCGGGTTTGTGTTTTTACCATCGTCTTCAGGAGAGCCAATATCGAATGTGCATGAGAGAAATTAATCGTGGTTAACCATACCTCACCTTTTTTTTTATCGTACCCATGGTAACGCTGTGAAATCCTAACATTCCATTGTTATTCAAGTAGCTGATCACATCTCACGCATGCGCATGCGGTGTAGCTGTTCCAAAAAAAAAAGATTGAAAACATAACGCAGGTCCTTCCTATCAACACACATTAACTTTAAACTTTGATTTAGCATTCCAAAATTAGTAGAAATAACATTACTATAGTACCTTTTGTGTAAAAAAAAAAAACACACAGTGTGATGTCTTCTCTTCATATCCAACACACGCTGCATTTTGGCCGTTTTTCCAGTTGAGTTGCAAAGGAATTTTCATGTATACTTTTGTTGTTATTTCCACCGAGTTTAGTGCCATTTCAGTGCACCTCCAAGGTTCAAGGTCATTGACCGAGCGGACATTTTGCAGGTGCCGATCGTCAAGTTGAAGCTGTGTTGTGTATATTTTAGGGAAACAATATGTAATTTTGATGTCAACTGTTGAGGTGTTTTAAAAATGAAACTACAAAATCGAGATTTTCATATTGTTGAGAATATTATGAAGTACATGAAGCCATAATCGCACAGAATCTTTACTTCCATTGTAAATCTTTACAGAAGAACAGGTTTCCATTCTCATTCGTTTATTTCTTAACCAGCAATTTCCTTTTGACACCAACCACCCGGTCGGTAAATATACTTGTCTGGAGACGCCTGTTTCTTCTCCGGAGCGATAGGGGTGAAATTCACGGGGACGTGTGCCCCGCTGCGCCGGGCAACTTCACACCTGGCTACCCGCTCCTTGTTTGTCTTTCCTCGTACCTTCGTCTTCGATTTCAGGGAACACTAAAAAATATACATCCGAAGGTTGGAGTTTAGGGGGGGGGAAGCGGTGGAAAGCCCTCAAGTCGTCTCAAGCTTCGAAGCGAAGTGATATTCATAAAACAAATAGTTCAGTACTCAAGAAAAACAACATCTGAACTCGAGGGCCCGAGGATCGAGATGGCGGCTCCTGGAAGGGTCAAAGGTTAAGAGCCGAGGATTCTGTTGTTTTAGTCATGTCATAATTTATGACATTAGTAAAATAAACAAACATCTTTGCGGTGGATGAACGACCTAGCAGTAAGCATGCCGACAACAACTTCATAAAAAAAAATGTGGCAGGCCTACATACTTGACCGGGTTGGCTACTATAGACGTCTTCTTTTTCAACTGAAGTGATTTATTTTGTAATGGACGCAAGGCATTTCTGACTCTTTGGTGGTAAAAGAGGAGAGGCGAATGTTGTTAGGACTCTCCCATATGTTAGCATTCGGTGTCCTTACAACTTACATGTACAAGCTATTGCCATCTGCGAATTGACCTGTTATTGTTACATTGCTTACCCTTGTCATTTTGTTGCGATGTTTTGAAATGAATGTCCCTTGAATTTTGCCACGTGAATTGAAGTGGACAAAATGAATGGAACGATCAGGCATTCACGACGTCAGTTTTTGAACTAAACCACGACGTAAACATGTTTTGTAGGACTTTTATGCAACTTTATATTGATTTTCTGTGTGTTATCTACAAACAATACTTTTTCAACCCAGGATAAACAAAAACAATGGTTAAGTCCTTTTTGGACAATAATTGATTAATTGAATATCAATCAGTTAACTGATCTTATCGATACATCTTTCAACAGTCGCGTATAATTATACGTTGAAGGATTTGTTCGGTAAGATCATATCGGTATTCGATACTGACACCTATGCAAGACACTGATCAAATAGATGAATTGGTAATCACTTCAATTATTATTTTTAAGTTTCACTTATAAACTTGTCAATAGTTCAACCCTGACGAGGAACAGAACACACGCTCCGAAACGTCAGGTTGTTCAGAGAACCATACGCGTAACTAACAACAATTGTCTAAGACTATAGTCACGGTTTCTGATTTCCCAAGTGTCTGATTTCCCAAGTCTTTGTTTCAAACAGGAGGTTCGGCGTCAAGAAATGCGCCCGTTGCGGCACGGGCATAGCGGCCCACGAGATGGTGATGCGAGCCCGTAGCCTAGTCTACCACCTGTCCTGCTTCACCTGTTCGGCATGCAGCATGGCCCTAACCACGGGCGACTACTACGGCATGCGGGACACTCAGGTCTACTGCCGGCTGCACTACGAGAGCACGGCCCTCAGCCCTGCCGAGCAACACCGCAGACACCAGGGGGAGAACCAACCTCACCTAACCCACCAACCCCACCCAGCTCATCAACCCCTCCACTCCCAGGGGATGGCACCCAGCTATCAGGGACCCCTGACCCCCGGGCCGTCCCCACCCTGCGCCCCGTCGGTTCCCATCGGGTTCTACAACGGCATGGGTGTCGGCGTTCACAAGGGCAGGCCCCGGAAGCGCAAGGGAGTGGACTCGGTCGGCGACTACTGCAGAGGTAAGATCGATTTTTTTGGGGTGGGGGGGGGGGGGGGGTGGGGTGAGGGGGGGGTGGGGGTAGGGAGGCACCCCATTTGGAAGTGTCTCAAAATGTATACATAATATTGCAAAGTTAACAGCGGGCGTGTAATTTATTGAAAGGAGGCCGTAACACAACAATTGGTCGAAATAGGCCCAGCGCATGCGCAGTATGACTTCCGTGAAGACGGGCCAGAACGCACGGTCCGAAACGTCGATTTAAAAACAAACTTCATTTCATACAGCTGAACGGCAGCAGCGTTCATGCCTAGCACGTTGCCACGTGAAATAGAAACGTGACCGCAGTCATCACATTCAACCCTGGACTGCGAAGTCGGACAGTTTTTGTTTTGCAATCAGAGTTTTTCTTTGAAAGTCTTAATCGCCAGTATTCAGTTGTTCACTTATAATGATGAGTCGTTATCTGGTTGTCGTGCATGCAGTTTCCTCCCTAGTGTTTTTTCCAGACAGGATGCCAAAGTTCCACAAGTTTCGAATGCGAGTTTGCTGCCTTGCGCTGTGGTTCTATTCTCGCCCGCAATTCTCCTGGCCCAGGTTCGAATCCCATGTGGAGTTACTCGGCGCTCATTGGTTTCCTTCATTAGGACATGCTCGGTGCAGTTTCAACCCATACTTGCCATCTCTCCTCGATGTCTTCTCTCGAATCATTTCCTAATGAGCGCATTGCTCCACAACGTCTTCATCCTCAACATTTTCTTAATGACCACATTGATTGGGAGAAATTTCCATAAGCTTTACCCGTCTCTCCATAGTTTATAAAATGGTCCAATATAATATTGAAAACAAGGTTCGCTTATCTCTATTCCGGACGTGGCAGAAAATCCCATAATCCCACTTCATCATAACACTGTACAGCCCCCAGTTGGGGTACGCATTGGTTCTGTCGTTCGTCAACTTCAAAAACTTTCGAAGGAAGAATATTAAAAGCGTGCCTTACGTAATTTTTAGGACCACCTTAATCTTCACAAGTCCCCGTAATCCAAAAAAATAGAAGCTTGAAACAGCTATTTCCTGTCCCCCGCTATTAGAAGTATTTAGCGGGGAGGATGGGGCGGGATGCCGCCTGTCAGTCGGCCGTGCGGGACCCACCACAGGCCGTAGTGCGACCCGCTGCTGTCTCATTACCGCACCGAGGATGACAAGACTCAGCCCTGTACGCCAAACCCCGTTGCGTAAGAAGTTATCTGTCGATCCCCCTTACCACTCATCGAGATGATAATCACGACAAATGAAAAGGAAAGGCAGGGATATGTTTTTCGCCCCACGTTGACAGGGAATTTGGACCAAAAGACAGGTCCGGTAGGTGACGCGGAAAGGGAAAATATCACTCAGGATTAAGTCAATGGGCTTGTGACGTGTTCCACGCACCAAATACAATGTCTCCATTGATAATGTTTCAGTTTGACGAAATGCAGAGTGATTGAAATTGAATGAGAGATTTTTTTAAGCGTGTTGCAAACATTGAGATTCGATGAGAATTAGCAACTCTCTGCAGTACACGGTAGCTTTGTGAACAGTTTACAAATTACATGCAAGCTCATGCACTTGTTTTTCTCAAGTAACATTTCAGACTTTTCAAAGACAATTAAAGTAGGATCGTTTTCCTTCATCTGTGTACAAAAAAGTTCGAATTTTATTTGCAATACAAACCGACTCATCACAGAATAACAGTTATTTTGTTTTTAAATATGCTTGTACTTTACCGTACAAACTTTGAAATTCCATCCTAAATACAATACATCTTATTTTCTTATTCTCGCATCTGTTCCCTTCCAACAATCACTTGTTCAACCATGACCAGCACTGAATATTAATATGTAATACATGATCTTGAAAGTTCCATCCTTGAAAAGAATTCTTTTCAGTGAGCTCGTGGCAAGTGAACTGTCAAATTAAAGCGGGGTCATAAAACCACTATAAATATGGGAGGGTATTAAAAACTAACACTGCAACACGCTAAATTCAACAGAATAATTAAACAAAGATAGCACTCGCGCTGTTCCCAACTTGAAAAACCAATGAATAATTTACTGAAATGAACAAAAGACCTCAATTTTCCTCGCCACATGCAAATCAAACCTATTTTCTGACTCGACAGGTCGATCGACATTAGGCCGGAGGGGAGACGCGCGCCCCTTGAACAATCCCATCAATCGGCGGTACGGTTCTTGCGCACGCAGTCAGCCGAGACCGCGTGGAGAAAATTGTGAAATTAGGTTATAAAGAGCCAGGAGTAGTTTACAAATTCGCTTGTATTAGCGCCAAAAGTGACAATCCGCTTGCAAATGTTTTACAAGCGCACTATTTATATTGCTACACTTGCTAATTTTTTTTGGCATTCCTACGGACAAATTCTAGACACACAAAGAAAATACTACCGTCTATAATGGCATTTACATCGCATGTTGGTTTCAGGATATTTTGAAATCTCATTTCGGGACTATTTCTCTTGTGATGGGACACGAAACTATCTACCTCCACGTTATGCGTTGGTACCCCCAGGGAAGCTGCTTTGTTGCATCGCGTAACTACACATCTTGATAGCGGGCGGAGGAATATGCTCATAGCTAACCTCACGCATTGGTCACACCTCAAATTATGAGGTTTGTCTGAGGTTCAGGCACTCTATAATCGTTTCCACACGCTATGATTATACATTTTGCGGATATCAAAAGAACTCAGAAAAGTGGAGAGTTAGGTGTTGTGGCGATTGTGTCGATGTGTAGGGGGAGGTTTCAAATGCTGATAATGCAAACCTCACGTAATTATGAGGTTTGCGTGAGGTTCACACACTCATGGCGTTTCTCACGGTATCCTCGTGTATTATCAGACATCAAAGACCACATTCGAGTGGCGGGGATGTTCTGTGGTGGTTTTTCCCCTTCCTTTTGATCACATTCTCACGAGGTGAACTCTTTCTGGGTTGAATTTTATGCATGCTTACGCGATTGTACACTCCCACCTCAATTAAAGAAAACGATTTCTAGTTGATAAAACACTTTAATAGTAAAACTTGATATTGTGTCCTGTTGCATGAACAGGGTTTCTCGTTTTGTAAACTGATAAAACTTTTTTTGTATAACTATAGAAAGTTTTCGTTTTTTTCTTCATAATCTGAAACAGGCATTGTGAGTTGTGACAAAAAGTTGTGTGTGTGCGTGTCAAAGCCTCCAAAGGCAGAAACGTATTCCAAAGTGAGCATAATGTATTTATTTAGAACCAGCCGTAGATTTTTTTCCCAGAGATTTAAGGATACTGGGATCATTTTCTCCCCGAGTGGGTTTCAATGGACCTCATGATGCGTAAGTACCAAACAACAAATAGTAAAGTAAAACATGAAATTTCCACCTCGCTGAAAGAAAATGTACGAGTTGAATCGGTCATTGTGAAATGCCATCAAAATACCAACGTGCGAAAATGAACACTCTCGTATCTGAACCATAAATTATACTATTGTTAAAGGTCGTAGGAGTTCCTCCCGTTTCAAAATGGGGTGGCCAAAAGATTATCTGCCAAAGACTGAAATTACCCGTGTTGAGTTTACTCTCGTGCAAATGCGCATGCGTGCACAAGTTTGTTATAAATCTTTTAATGTGACTGTGGCTTAGGTATACAGGCAGCACTGAGTTCGATTATAGGAACCGAGAGACAACCATTATCAAACAAAAGGAAAACTTGTTTCAATTGTCTTCTACATTTATTTCTGTATAAGGTAAATTAGAATATATTTTGCTCTCTAACATCTTTAACTCTAGGCTTTTTATTGTACGGATGAACTATGAAGATGGACTTTTATTTGTCCACGAATGAAATTTTAGGGTTCGGGGGAAATTGTTCGAAACACCTCTTTTTAGCCTAAAGTCAGCCATGGGCAACTGGAACCAATTTTTTCTAGTTTGGATGGTTCCACACCATGTACTTCACCTGTCGTCTGCATTATTTTCAGAACAATTCAGCCTTTTTTGTGGGTGCAACTCGGGTAGAACCTTTCTGACCAAATTGTTAAGAAGAAATAGAAAATGGAGAGCGAATTGGCTTTCTTTTTGTTGTTGACCTCCACCCACAAAAAGGTGCGTGTGTGTCCAAATACGCGTTGACGCGTCAAGAACTGTGCCGTTAAAAAAAATGTGAAAATCACGTCAGATGGTTCATTTTGCCGACAATAAAAGTCAACAATTGGAAGACCTTGGGGCACGCGAACGAACAATACGCCTGCACTTTTTCCAGGGTTATATAATTATTATATTGACTGATGTGGATTCTGGTTCAGATAATAGATGGACTGCCATTTTTATGAATATAAGTTGTTTGGAGTGAACAAAAAAATCCCCTCTACTCCAATTTTGAGGTAACTATCACTTCTTGCGCGTGCGGTGAATTCTACAAGGTTTTCCAAGTATATACAGAAGAGTGCTTCAGTCGAGAATTTGTCTCATCGTGTGTGCACATTCCTAACAATCGTTTGTCATAAATCACATTTGTTACTGATATTTTTTATGATTTTTTTGTATGGAAGACATGGAAAAATCTTGACCTTCTAATAAAGATTTAAACCTTTATTTCTCAACAATCGGAAAGGTCATGAATGACAAAATTTAATAAGGCCTACGGTGTGTTCGGACGTTTTAGACAACTGTCAGTTTAAAGTCAGAAGATACAAGAAGTGTGTCGCATTGGTTTGAACATAAAATGATACACACTACTATGTGTTAAATCTTGTAATATGCTTTACTTTCATTATATATGATCAGAAAAAAACTTTTTTAGTCAATTTCCATCATTTTTGATAGCTCGCTTGCACAGCCTTACAGATTGTTTATCGGGACGCTTCGGTTTTTAAAACAAAAGGTAATGCACACTTGGCCATTACACGACTTTACAAGAAATTTGGCGCACCATCGTGGGGTGGAAGAGCGAGTAAGAGAGACAAGAAGATGATATATGATCTTAAGGAGTTGA